TTCTCCTGATGTCCCGCCTTCCACTCCCCATAGGATGGAACTTTCCCTCCAAACCCATGACAGACAGGTAACATCAGTGCTGTATGTAACAGAGGTCAATAACAGAAGAAGAAGAATAAAGGTAGAGGAAGAAGAGGATTACTGCAAGAGGTCCTGATTATGGTGGTGGGGAACACAGTCAATTTGTATTTTGATTTATGTATTTTATGTTTATATTGTAGTTTATTTAATAAAAAAAATTAAACAATGGATCCAAGGCCCTTGCTTTTCTACAGAGAACACGATCTTTGGATAAAATCACTTGGCTTGCCCTTTTTTAGATTTTTCTGGTTGATCATTAGATTTATTAGAAATCAATCTACTTCTGCTTCAGCCTTGCAGATCATTTTATACCACTAACAGCACTTCCCTATTTATTGAAATGTTTCCAGATGGAGGCGTTTTAGTGCCACCCACCCAAATACATTGTGTGATTATTTTGAATTTTCCTTATTAAAATATTTTCTGTGTCAAGAAAACAGATTCTCTCAACTCCTGTTGTGAGTGAAGGAAAAGCAGTTAAGCAGAATAAATACGCATGTGGTTAAGGGTTGGTTTGGGCAGCTTTAGAATCATCCATAGAAAACCAAGCTCAGCTATCACAAGGAATATGTTAAACAAAGAGCAAGACCTGACATTATCATGTAATACTGTACCTATTGAAGGGTGGGGTGTTGATCACACTTCTCAGACCATCCTGATTCTTACAAGATTTTGCTGATCTACTAAAAAAAAAGTCATAATTGCAATACTGTAGCACACACATCTTAATCCAGACTACAGTAGCACCTTCATTGCCACATAATCAGTATCCACTGATTCACTTATTCATGGCCTGAAAATATTGAAAATATGAAAAGAAAAATCCCAAAATTATATATTTTTAATGATGAAGTTACCAGACCAGGTCACTAGAGGGAGCCAGAGGCCACGCTATATTTAATGTTCACTAGAGCCAGCCCAGTATCCCCAACCCCCAGTCCACAGGTCAGTACTGGGCCGTAGCCTTGGCAGGACCGGGCCGGGGAGAGAGATAGCCCGCTCCCTGCATGCATGCCCCCCATGCATGCCCCTCCCACCTACACTCATGGACGCACACATGCCCTGCTCATGCATGGACTAACGCATGGGCCCCCCACATGCATGCATGCATGGGTGCCCCCCCATGCTAAACTGGTCTGCGCTTCAAAAACAGTTGGGGACCACTGCACTAGAGGAAACAGATTTCCACGATTTCAGTACCAGAACTGGCCACAAGACAAAACCAGAGACCATACTATAGATAGTGTGCACTATTAAAAATAGTGTTCATTGTTTTTCAGCATCCACCGGAGGCCCCTGGAATTGATCCCCAGTGGATAAGGGGCCTTACTGTGCTTGTGTGGTCATTTTCTTTGACTTCAAAAACTTTCTTCAGTCCATGGTGCTAGCTGGGGAGCTCAGTGAATTTTGCATCTGACTGTAGAGCCAGAGGTTAGACGTTTGATTACCCATTGTGCCTCCCAAGGGAAAAGCGATCCTCTGTAACTTGGAGCAACTGCACATTCCCATGGAAAGGAAAGACAGACTATGTCCAAGTATTCTCTCAATAGAAAAGCCTAGTAAGGGTCAACGTCAACCGGGATTGTTTTGATAGCATGTAATTATTTTTTATTAATCTCTCTACAGCTTCCTGCATGGTGGGGGGGGGGAAATACAGTTAAAAAGAAAATACAGTGTTTACACAGAAAAGGCTGATATTCAAAAAGCCTTTGTTCACAACAGAGCTGTGCTGAAACTCTGCCACTTCCACCCAGTGCTAATGGTTACATCAAATATATCATTGGAGTGCAACACTTCTTTTCCTTCCATGAAAGGTTTCACTCACAGATGATCACCACAAACCAGCTGCCTTTGAGGTGGGTGAGAGCAAACCTGGCTGGCCAGTTTTACTAGTCAGCTTAATAAAATGTCAGATTTCAGTTATCCCAACTGAGCTTTTTTTTTTTTTTAAACCTATTTTATGCCTCTTTTCAATTATGCCCACCAGATTTTAGGCCCTTCTCTTTCAAGTGAAGTTGTTTAGGACATGTTCAACCTCCTTGTTAGTCAATGACATTTCTGGATTGAGACATTTCTCATAAAACATGAAAGTTCTAAATTAGCACAAAGTACAGCTTACTTGATTGTCCTTCCGCTTTTAAGATTGCCAATGTTCTCCAGCTGCGCCTTTTAACAATTGGATGAGAAGCAGAGAAGGAGGACAGAAAGAAATGAAAGGAGAGAGAATTTGTCTGATGAATTTTAGCTTGGTGCCCAAATTGCAAAACAAACAAAGGTTTCCCCCTTGGCTCCATCACGCAAATTCTTACGAAGGATTATGCCTGTAACCTAATTTACCAGTTAAGTAAAACATGCTTTTGCAGTGAAAGCTGGCTGTCAGGAACTGACCTGTTGGTGATAAAGTGAATAATTACTGTCCAATCGAAGTGGCCATAGAGAAACCACAGCTTCCTCTCCCCTCTTGGTCAGTTTTTCTTGCTGTAATTTACACCTTAAAGGGAAGGGAGGCTGCTGAACTTTGAGTCAGAAAATCACCTGGTTGCAGGGAACCCTCCTGGACAAAACTGGACCAGCATTCCAAACTTCATAACATTACTTTTAAGAAGATGAGCAGTGAGTGATAGGATGACAATCCCGGCCCCAGGGCATCATCCTGATATTCCTTAGTTATTTCAATGTGTCTTAATATTCCTTTGGCTGTCTAGCCAGCTGGAAAGTTCAGGCAAACGGCACTATTTTACTTCTCTCACTTTCTTCGAATTATCCTTTCAGATTAACAGGCCACCAGGACCTCTGATACTGATCTAAGATGTATCAGGCAAAATCAAAAGAAACAAAACAAAACAAAAAGAGAAAAACATGTGGCACCTTAAGGACTAACTATTATACAGCGGTGCCTCGACTTACGACTATAATCTGTTCCAGAAGATGGACGTTAATCGAAATGGTCGTAAAATGAAGCACAGTTTCCCATAGGAATGCATTGAAATGCAATTAATTCATTCCAGCCGAAGAAAAAAATCACCAAAAAAATTCACTGCAAGACTCATTGGAAACATGATTAATCCTTTCCAAGTGAACGGGGGGAGCAATCAAGTGTGCAAGACCCGTTGGAAATGCACAGAAAACAAACGGAGCAGATCAGAAATGCACAGAGAACAAAGGGGGCAGGTTGGAAGTGCAAAGAAAACAAAGGAAAAAGCAAGGGAAGCGTGCAGGACCCATTGGAAATGGGGAGGTAGAGCCAAGAAACAAACTTCCCAAGACCCATCAGAAAGGGGGACCCCCCAAAAGCAACCAAATCCCTCAAGATCCATCAGAAATGGAGGATAAACCAAACAAACAACCCCCCAAGACCCATTGGAAATGGGGAAAAACACTCCAAAAAGCAACAAAATCTCCCAAGAACCATTGGAAATGGGAAAAAACCCAACCAACAAACAACCCCCCCAAGAATCATGATAGCACAGAAATATAAATCCCCCCAGCTCAAAATCACTCTGCAAAAACACCCAGAACAGTTTTTTAAAAGCAGGAAACAGTATCTTACCTTACCAGCCAGTGGTGTCTAGAAAATGCACCTGTTTCATAGATTGTTCCAGGGTGAGGTTGCAACACCATGTCTTCAACCCCCTCTCTGTCCCTTCTCTCTCACCCCATCTTTGTTCAGGCTTGGTGTCTGTTTTCTGTCTCCTGGAAGAATGTTTACAACAGAATCCTAAAACAAACATAGGCCATAAATTACTGCACATGAGATATACTATACACCCAACCCTCCTACGGCCAATGAGTATTTAGAATTTTCTACTTGTGAAACTGATATTTCATCCATTATTTCATTCTGTTTCCATGTGTCTGATGAAGTGTATGTGCCCAAAAAACTGACATTAAAATGCAATAGTCTTCAAGATGCCACACATTTTTCTCTTTTTTGTTTTGTTTTTGTTTATTTTCTTCGAATTATGCCTGATAATACTTGCGCAGACTAACATGGCTACCTTCTCTAAAACTACAACTGATCTAAGTGTGTGATCAGACAAGCACATAGCCTGCTGTTTGAATCAGTGCAGGGGCAGGCTGGTGTGGGGACACACTGGTGTGCTCTTAAAGACAGCAGTCAGATAACATTTTTGCAAAGGAATCCAGCTCATCTCCAGAGCTTTTGTACCTGCAACTTTCTGGATCCTGTCAAGGTGCTTCTTATTTTTTTGATCCAAGTAATATCTTTCTACTTTGGCTTATTTCCAGCTCATCTGATCACTGGGAACAGACAGAAGGAAGCCTCCCTCTTTCAGTTTGCCAGTATCCTGGTAGCTTATTAAGACAGCCGCTTCTTGATATAGGCAAATTGAACACATCCTCAGCTCCATTGAAGTGTTTAATATCCAAAGGCAGCAGGGAGAGGCTGCCTTTGAAAAACCAAACCCACCAATGCCAGGTTGTGTGTGTGCTTGGCTTAGCTTTTTAAATGGGGCATGCAGAGCAGCAGTGACATGAGAAAATTTGGCTCTTTAAGAGAAAAGCAAACAGAAACACACACACCCCTACCTTGCCCTTCCTGTCTCTTTCCTGGCCTTTTGAATTGTGAGTACAGAAGCACAATATCCCACATTCATAAACTGGAGGTTTCTTGAAGACTTGAATAACCTCTTTAGATCGACATGCAAGCTGAAAACCAGGCAGAGACAATAGTGGAGTTGATAACTTATCTTGCTTTGCCTCCTCAAAACAACCCACCCGTGGTGCTTTTCTTCCTTGCATTTCAGCCCCTATCCTGTGTACACAATAAGTAGCTGTGTGGGGAAAATCTTAATCAGACAGGGTAACGAATCCTAACAGGGGCTTATCATTTACAGCCCCCAAGGACCAAGTCATTATTATGTAATACTGTACCTATCAAGGGGGAAGATGTTGATCATATTGCTCAGACCTTTCAGTATGTTATAGATTTTGCCGATCTGTTTACACAAAATAATTTCAGCTGGAAGATTTTGTTAATACTGCAGTACACAAATCTTAATTCAGATTATTTGCATGATCATTTTTCTTTGTTTTTAAAGGCTTTCTTCAGACCGTGATGCTGGCTGGATAGCTCAGTGAATCTGATAATCTGACTTCTAAATCAGAGGTTACGGGTTTGCTTTCCTACTGCGCCTTCTGAGAGAAGAGCCAACCACTGTAGCCTGGAGAAACTGCACAATCCCACAGAAGGGAAAGGTAAACCATAATTAAGTATTATCTGGCTAGGAAACCCCAGAAAGGGTCACTATCAATTTCAATTGATTTGACAGGTAATAATTATTACTTATTAATCCCTGTACTGCTTCCTTCCTGCATGGGGGAAAATACAAGTTTTTTTTGAAAAAAAGGAAAATGTACTCTTTACACAGAAAAGACTGATATTCAAAAAGTCCTTGTTCAGAACAGAACTGTGCTGAAACTCTGTCACTTCCATCCGGTTATAACAGTTATATCAAATAGATCCTAAGAATGCAACACTTCGTTCCCTATCTACGAGAAGTTTCAGTCACTGATGATCACTACGAAGCAGCTGCCTTTGAGGTACTTGAGAGTGAACCTGAGTGGCCAGTTTTACTAGTCCATTGACATGTCAAGTTTGAGTTATCCCCATTGAATTTATACCCACTGGATTTTGTGCCCGTATCTTCCAAGGGAAAGCATTTAGGACACTTTCAATCCTCATTGTTAGTAAATGATTGTAGCGAAATGCCAACAGGTGACGTCATTCCTGCCTGTCCATCACAGACGCTCAAGAGGGAGGAGCCAAGAATAGGGCAGGAGGGGCGGAGTTAGAGAGACAGTTGGAGATGTGGAATGGCAGGAGAGTTAGGGTTTAGGAGAGAGGGCTGGTGAATTGAGTTGAGAGTGTTAGGAGAGGGAATTGAGAAGGTTAAACAATATTGAACAAGCAGGAATGAAATTATAAGCACTGTAAGAGAGCTATTGATTGAAAGTATACAGCAGTTTGGAATAAAAGTGATTGCCTACATGATCCAATACGTGTTAATACCTGATACAGTTCATATGTGATTTACCTTTATGATTTACTTGACAATAAAAGAATGTTTGTTAATTAAACCTCTGATTCCTAAGTTCAATAACCCTTAGTTTTGGCAGCACACGTGTATAACATAATTGGTATTAGGAGAATACCTGGTGGCAGCGTGAAGGAAAAAGGGCGAGATCCATAGTGAGGGCCATATAAACAGGGGCTACAAGGATGATCGCCACAATGATGTTTCTGGATTGAGACATTTCTCATGAAACATGTAAATTCCTTCTTCACACATGGGACAGCTTCCTTGATCGTCCTTCCACTTTTAAGATTGCCAGTGTTCTCCAGGCAGGACAGCTGCACCTTTTAATAATTGGATGAGAAGCAGAGAAGGAGGACAGAAAGAAATGAAGTCGGGAGGAAGAATTTGTCTAATAAAGTTCAGCATGATGTCCACATTGCAAAACAAACAAAGGTTTCCCCCTTGGCTCCATCAGGCAAATTCTTACGAAGGATTATGCCTGTAACCTAATTTACCAGTTAAGTAAAACATGCTTTTGCAGTGAAAGCTGGCTGTCAGCAACTGACCTGTTGGTGATAAAGTGAAGAATTACTGCCCAATCAAAGTGGTCATAGAGAAACCACAGATTTCCTCTCCTCTTTTGGTAAGTTGATTTTTTTCTTGCTGTAATTTACACCTTAAAAGGAAGGGAGGCTGCTGAACTTTGAGTCAGAAAATCGTCTGGCTGCAAGGAATTCCTCTCTCCCTCCCGGACAAAACTGGACCAGCATCTGAACTTCATAACATTACTTTTAAGAAGAATGAGCGGTGAATGAGAACCATCTTGCTGCTGTTAGTTATTTCGATGTATATTCTCGAAGGCTTTCATGGCTGGGATCTGATGGTTGTTTTGGTTTTTCGGGCTGTTTGGCCATGTTCTGGAGGTTTTTCTTCCTAACATTTTGCTAGTCTCTGTGGCCAGCATCTTCAGAGGACAGGAGTCACAACTCTGTCTGTGTTCTAGCTCCTGTCCTCTGAAGACGCCGACCATAGAGACTGGCGAAACATTAGGAAGAAAAACCTCCAGAACACGGCCAAGCAGCCCGAAAAACCTACAATCACCATATTTCAGTGTGTCTTGAGATTCCTTTGGCTGT